GTGCGTCCTGCAAGGCGTCTGCTGCGGTTGCGACTCCACGCCATCTGTGGGGAGGGGCTGCTGTTCTCTAGCAGCAGCAAGGGGCCTCTTCTGCAGCCTCAGTGCATGCAGGGGAATCTCAGGTCAATGCTACCACATGCGTCCGCTCACATGTCCCCTCCCCACTTCAGGCTCCTGCTCCTTCCCTGGCCTTGTGCTGGTGCAGGCGGCTTCCCGAGACTGTGGACGCAGCTTTCTGAGATGCTGCTGCTCTCGCCACTGAGTGTGTCTTCAGTGTGGTTGCCCTGGGGCTGCAGGAGATGAGGCCTCCTTTAAAAACTGCTGCCGAGGCCTCTGGCGTTCACACTGTGCCTCGGGTTCCTGGTCAGCTGACCTGAGTCTGTCGTTTGCCCATACATTGATCGTGACCCCCCACATCTCACCAGTGCCACAGCTCTAGTGGCTGGCACATCCCCTTCCATCTGCACCTGCGGCCCACCCTGCTGCCTGCCGTGCACCCTCAACACTGCACCTGCGATGGATCCTTGCTCATCTGGCCAGTGGGCAGCCCAAGTCCAAAATCCCGTCCCAAGGATTTGCTTCTCAGGACAGCCCCCAGAAGCAGGCCCTGAGATGGGGACATGTGTGCCAGTGACCAGGGATGGGAGAGCCCGGCAGGGGAGTGGGGGAACAGGACAGGGAAGGGGAAGAAGCCCAGCCAGGGTGTGGTTTCTGGCAGAGTCCCGGGAAGGGCAGCTTTGGCCTGGGCCTGCGGATGTTATGGAGCAAGTGCACCCCCTTCAGGCAAGGGGCTGGGCTGTCACACCTGGGCATCCTTTGAGGCTGGATGCAGGTCACCTGCCAGGATGTGTAACTCCCAGGCACTCTGGCTGCCGAGGGAAGTTTCTCCAACAGCCCAATGGCAGTCGCCCAGAGAAAGCCACAGGCGCTGGCACCAGTGGGCGGTGGGGGGAGAAGCTGACCGGGCCGGGGTCCCGAGGGACGCTCAGACACTGATCGAGAAGGGGCCATGAGCAGAACCTGGACAGCGCCCACCACAGACCCCACGTGTGTCTCTGTCCACAGGAGAACGACTACCTTCAGGACTGCCTCGACGCGATCCAGCAAGACTTTGTGATTTTTAACAGAGAAAAGTGAGTGTGGATGTTGGGGTGGGGGTGGAGAGAAGGGAATCGGGCCAAGGTTTGCCTGGCCACAGGGTGCTGAGCCCCCAGCAGCCGTGTGGCATCCATGGGCCTGGGATGCCTGTCCCTGTTGTCTTTGTGGAGTCCGAGCAGCAGCCATGGGGGAGAGGGGGATCCCTGTTCAGCCTTTTGTGGTGGAGGAGGGGGCTCCCTGGGAATCTTCTAGTTCTAGATGGGGCCAGCGGCCAGAACCTCCTGGGGTGGTGAGGGCTGATGGCTTCCTGGGCGGCCCCTGTCAGCACTCACTCACTCAGCAAGCCTCCTCTGAGCATCAGGTGCTATGGGACAGAAAGGGCACAGATGGCCAGGAGGGGGATCAGGCGGGCCACAAGAGCTAACACCACCTGCAGTGTGGAGGGGAGTGGACACGCCCTTTGCCTGGGTGAGGCAGGGAGGGCTTCCTGGAGGAGGTGGCTGTGAGCTCTGGCTGGAAAGGATGCGCAGGATGGTATGTGGAGACTGCTTGAGGACACTGGCCTCCATCCTGGGGGTCAGAGGACCCAGTGAAGAATGGGACTGAGCTAAGCTCTCTGAAAAGCCTTATTCCAAAGTTGCTGACCCGTGGAACCTGCACCGAGTCAGCCTCCCTTAAGCCTCTGGCTGGAAGTGAGCCCAGGTTCCAGCCTCATGCCCCCAGCCCTGAGCAATGTGAAAAGTCAGGCAGAGAGGCTGCCAGGCTGAGCTGCGCCACACGCCCCTCTTAGGCTCCCTGTAGAGCCCCACATATCCCAGAGCAAGGGAGGTGCCCAGCACATGGCCCATGTTTGGACACCCCATGCCATGTTTCTGAGGGGCACATCCTGGGAGTCCTTGAACAAGTCATGGGACCAGAGAGCGAGAAGCAGAGGCGGCTGGGGATGCCGTGGCTGTCCGGGAGGCTGTGTAAAGCCTCTCCTGTGTTCCTCCCACCCAGGCTGAAGAGGAGCCAGGACCTCACCAACGAGCCTCTTCCCACCCCCGAGCCTGAAGACATGGCAGAGCCAAGGGCAGACAGCGATGGGGGGCGCTCGGCCCTGCCGGTGTGCGGCTCCATCTGCCCCTCGGCCGGGAGCAGCTAGGCCACCCGGGCCGGTGCGCCACGGACGGTTAATTCTCCGGCTGCGTTGGAGACTCGGGTCTGCCAGAGGGAGGGCTGGTGCGCGGAGGTCCAGCATCCACATTCCCACCCGACAGCCCCAGGCTGGCTGTGCCACGGCGCCCTGGCCACATTTCACACCAACGGTCTGACCAT